AAAAATTCTGCAAATGTATAGTGGTGATGGTTGCACATCATGAATAAATTTTATGTCACTGAACCAATGAAAATGGTTTATATTATGTATTTTTATTAAAAATTTTTTTTATCCATTTCAGAAAGAGGAAGGGAGAGGGAAAGAGAGTTAGAAAATCTATTGGCCACCTCTTGCACACCCACAACCCGGAACCCAGGCATGTGCCCTGACTGGGAATCAAATCAGTGACCTCCTGTTGCATAGGACAAGGCTCAACGAACTAAGCCACATGGGCCAGGTGTTATGTATATCTTAATGCATGCACAAAATTTAAAAAAAAAAAAAAAAAAACTGGATCTGTTTTTTGAAAAAGTGGATAAAAACAGGAAACAGCCCTGGGCGGTGTTTCTAAATGATTAGAGCGGCAGCCCTCACACTGAAGGGTCTTGAGTACAATTCCCAGCCAAGGGCACACACCTGGGCTGCAGGTTCCATCCCCACCCTAGTCACCTAATCAGGGCTCCTGTGGGAGGCAACCGATTCCTCTCTCTCTCTCTCTCTCTCTCTCTCTCTCTCTCTCTCTCTCTCTCTCTCTCTTTTTCTCCTTTTACCCTCCCTTATACTCTCTCTAAAAATTAATGGAAAAAATATCCTTGGGGGATGATTAACAACAACAAACACACACACACACACACACACACACACACACACACACACACACACCAACAAAACAAAACAGGAAACAGAAGGTCAGGAAAAAGGGTAGATAGTGGCACAAGATTGTCTTCTCAGGATTCCTGTCATTCTGGGGTGATTTGCCTATTTCCTGACAGCCTCCCAGAATTTCTGTAGGTTGGCTCACTTTCTAGACCAAAGTTAACTTGTTCATTTTCATCCACATCCCAGAAATGACAACCCCTATGACAGTAGTTCTCAACCTTTTTAATGCCAAGATCCTTTAATACAGTTCCTCATGTTGTGGTGACCCCCAAACATAAAATTATTTTTGTTGCTACTTCACATCTGTAATTTTGCTACTGTTAATGAATTGTAATGTAAATATCTGTCTTTTCCAATGGTCTTAGGCTCTACAGCAGCGGTTCCTCAGAAAACACAGATATTTTCATTATGATTTATAACAATAGCAAGAGAGAGAGAGAGAGAGAGAGAGGAACACATTGATTGGCTGCCTTCCACATATGCCCTGACCAGCGCCAGGGATTGAACTTGCAACCAAGGTACATGCCCTTGACTGGAATTGAACCTAGGACCCTTCAATCTGTGGGCCGATGCTTTGTCCACTGAGCCAAACTGGCTAGGGATCCAACATTAGCTTTTTAAAAGGATTTTTCTATAAACTCCCTTGGACAGATTTTATTTATTTATTTTTGAGATAGAGTGGGAGAGAGAGAGAAAGAGAAACCAATAAAGGTTCCTCCTGCAGGTGCCATAACAGGAGATCGAACCCTCGACCTGAGTATGTGCCCTGCCAAGGAATTGAATCTGCCATTTTTTGGTATAAGAAATGATGTTCCAACCAACTGAGCCACAGCAGTCAGGGCAGACATATTTTATTTTTTGTAACTTTCCATCTAATTGTCTGTTGGTCCAACTTTCCTTGGAAGACAAATTACTTATCTCCTTCCTCATTACATTAATTTATGCTGCAGTGTCAGGAATGGTGTCACCCCCTCTGCCCTTCAGAGAAGAGCAGTATAGCAGAGGCAGCATGAAGCCCAGTCCAAAAAGAGAAATGTGGTATTTCCCATGTTCCCATGTTTACCAGATATGGCATTTGACATTATAAACTGTAGGGCCAGAGATAGTCCTCATTAATCTTATTTATTTTAAATCTTATTGTTGAAAGTATTACATATTTCCCCCCCTTTTCACCCTCTCATTTGTTTTATAACCCCTAAGGCTTAGACTATTCATTACAATTCTGGTCCAATACACTATCTCTTACCCTGGTTCTGCCCTGCAAGGTAGATTTTATTGTACTAAATTGCAGGTGAGAAAACCAAGACTCAGAGATACTTATTCAAGATCATATACTTCAATGTGATGGAGCCAGCATTAATTAGGGTTATTTGGTTGCAAACAGAAGAAATTGGCTAAATTCATCAAAATAAAGGCAAGCATTAATTAGAGGTATATTGAACAGCTCACAGAATAGATATGGATGTGCAGAAAACAGAGCTGGAACTAGGACAAGTATGACTCCATCCTGTAGTGTGAAAGTGTGAACCTTTTTTTCATCCTTCTTTCATTTTGTTCAAAATTCAAAAGTTCATGGAAAGAGACTTCAGTTGATCTTGAACTTCAGAAGAAGGGCAGGGCATATAATTTACTATCCCATAAAGAAGGCCCGAGCCCTAGTTGGTTTAGCTCAGTGGATAGAGCATCGGCCTGTAGGCTAAAGGGTCCAAGGTGCTATTCCAGTCAATAGGACATGCTCCAGTTGCAGTCTCAATCCCCAGTAGGGGGCGTGTAGGAGGCAGTTAATGATTCCCTCTCATCATTGATGTTTCTCTCTCTCTCTTCCTTCCTATCTGAAATCAATAAAAATATATTTTAATAAAAGAAGGCCCCTGCTGTGAAAGAAGTAATTTCTCAGAAGGCATTCAGTGTTCAGTTTTGAAGGGTGAAATGGATGCTGGGTAGTAAAGAAAAACAATCTCTATGGTGACACCTTAAATGCACTGTGTGAATCTCCTTCCAAGGAAGGACCCGTTGCCCCAGCTGTGGTAGTGTTGCTTAGAGACAGCCTTCAGCTGTCAGCCTTCCAGGAATTGCAGAGCCACCTCATCCATAGTTATACCCTTTCCAGGGCAGCCCATATCATTGAAGTTGGGGTGTTAAGGCTTAGTCATTTCAGTTTACTGTTGGGACAGTTCTTTAGGAACATTTTTGGTCCAGAGCTTCCTCTAGGGCTGATTGAGGCTGTATCTGTGCCTGCAGTACAACTCAACATTTTTCTGTACTCATTCCCGCTTTCCACCACTCACTCCCAGTGGTCTTGATGCCAATAGCATTTAAAAAAATAAATGTCCCCAATGCTAAACGCATTCAGTTGTCTGCTTTCTGGAGGTCACAACCTGTGACATCTCCACTCACCAATTCATATGTCCCCAAAGTCCCAACCCCACCCACCAAATATAATTATGCTTCATTATGACTCCCCCCCCCCCCCCATGATGTGGCACCAAAAAACAAACCAACTAGGTCAACTTGTCTCACTGAAGAAAAAAGGATCCACCCTAATAGTAGACAAAAAATGGTCTGGTCGAACTTAATCAAAGACAGGTGTCAGGGACATCCTGAGGCCTTCCTAAGAGATTTTCAAGGGTAATTTTGACTATATTCAACTTTCACCTTTTATGCTACCATTAAAACCTCACCCATGTGAGACTCACCCTGTACATTTATGTGCATTGCAGTGGTACAGCATTACCTCACACCAAAATTTATGACATTGTAAAAAAAATGGTGGATGAAAAGTACAGGGGAAAATGACAGATGTTCTTATTAGAGTACTTTTGGGGTTCTCTGTTCATAGGACTGTAGCAGCGCTCTCCAATAGAAATAAGAGAGACATAAGTAATTTCAAAATTTCTAGTTAGTCACATTTTTTAAAAACTAAAAAGAAACAGGCAATATTAACATAAATCATTTAATACAACATATATCCAAAACTTTGTCATTTCAACACATAATCTATCCTGAATGGCCAGATTATTATGATCTCTGAATGCATAATAATCTGGCCACTCAGTGTATATATCTACAGTAATAAAAGAGAAAGATGCAAATTGACCATACCTCCACTACACCCACCATCCAATCAGGAGTGAATATGCAAATTAACCTGAAAAGATGGCAGCAGCCCTTCCCCCCAGCTACTCCAAACCTGTGGGAGTTGAAGAAGTCTGGCACCAGCACCTGAGGCTGGCTGAAGCCCGGGAGACAAAGAAGCCGCCTGCCTTATGATCCTAGGCCACAAACAGCTGGAGAAGTCACCCACACTGCATCCTAGGGAAAACGGAGAAGCCGCTGCCTGCGGCCCAGGTGCCAGCACCTGCGGCTGGCTACAGCCTGGTAAATGGAAAAGCCTTCCACCCCGCAGTCCCAGGCACCAGTACCTGGGGCTGGCTGTGACCCAGGAGACAGAGATGTAGCCAACCCGCAGTCCTGGGTGCCAGCACTTGTGGCTGCAGCCCAGGTGAAGCCACCTGCCACCATCCCTGCGGATGTAGCCAGCCTGGGTGCCTATGGTTGACCAGAGGGAGGGAAGCCAGATCCTGGGTGCCTGTGGTTGGCTGGAGGAGGGAATCCTGAGTGTGGGGCCAAGGCAGAGGTGGTTAGGGCCAATCAAGCCAGCAGGGGAGCAGTTAGAGACTCTCAAGCTGGCAGGCAGAAGCAGTTTGGGGCAATCAGACAGGCAGGTGAGTGGTTAGGAGCCAGCAGTTCTGGATTGTGAGAGGGATGTCTTACTGCCAGTTATTCCCCAAGGGGTCCCAGATTGGAGAGGTTGCAGGCCAGGCTGAAGGACACCCTTTCTCCCTCCTCCCCCATGCACAAATTTCACATACTGGGCCTCTAATGTGTGTGTGTGTGTGTATTAGAGGCCCGGTGCATGAATTTGTGCATGGGTGGGCTCTGGCCAGCCTGGCCAGGGGGAGGGGACATGGCAGTTGGTTGGCCTGCCTGCTGGTCGAAGTCCTGGTCAAGGGGACAATTTGCATGTTAGCCTTTTATTATATAGGATATACACTGAGTGGTAAGATTATTATGCGTTCAGAGATCATAATAATCTGGCCACTCAGTGTATATAATAATTATCATTGACATTTTACATTTTTTTCATACAGTGTATCTTACATTTACAATACATCTCAATCTGAACTGATTACACTTCAAGTGTCACTTATGGGTTAGTGACTTCCTTATTAGATAGTGCAGGTCTCAAACATTTCTACCTATATATAAAAGCCAAAGTGGAGAGGACGCCTGGCGCTGGGCGAGGTGGAGGCGCGCGTTTCGGGGTCTCTGCGCGGGTGTGGGGCGCGGAGCCCGGTCGCCAGGGCGCGGGCGTCATGTCAGACAACGAGGACAATTTTGATGGCGACGACTTTGATGATGTGGAGGAGGATGAAGGACAAGATGACTTGGCGAATGCTGAGGAGGAGGGCCAGGAGAATGTGGAGATCCTCCCCTCTGGAGAGCGACCGCAGGCCAACCAGAAGTGGATCACCACACCATACATGACCAAGTATGAGCGAGCCCGCGTGCTGGGCATCCGAGCACTCCAGATCGCGATGTGTGCCGCCGTGATGGTGGAGCTGGAGGGGGAGACAGATCCCTTGCTTATCGCTATGAAAGAGCTCAAGGCCCGAAAGATCCCCATCATCATCCGGAGCTTCCTGCCTGACGGCAGCTATGAAGACTGGGGGGTAGACGAGCTCATCATCACGGACTGAGCTGGACTCATCTTCCAACTGCGCCTCCCCCCACCTCCTGTTCCCACACTCTGCCCGTGTAAATAATAAACTATTAACCTTTCAATAAATAAATAAATAAATAAATAAATAAATAAATAACATAAAAAATAAAAGCCAAAGTGACTGTTTCAACCGAATGACTAGAATAGGGGTGTCGAACTCAATCAGAGAAGGGGCCAAAATCTAAAATCCAGCCTAAATCGTGGGCCGAATGGTTTACTGAACAGTCATAAACTGTCATTGTGATGGAAACGCAGCGGAGTGCAGTGATGACAGCGCGGTGCGGGCCACATTGCAAGGCCTGGCTGGACGGATTTGGCCCGTGGGCCTTGTGTTTGACACATGTGGTAACCGGAACAACCAGTCGACCAGTCACTATGATGTGCACTGCCCACCAGGGGTCAGACGCTCAAGGTAGCGTCTGACCCCTGGTGGTCAGTGCATTTCCACAGCCAACCCCTGCCCCAAGTTGGCCAATCTCCTGCAGCCCCTCCCCCCAAGGCCAGCCAACCTCCCACGGCCCCTCCCCCCAGCTGCCGAACCCCCAATTGGCCCAATGGGGGTGGGGGGGGGCAGTCAGCCAACCTCCCATGGTCTTTCCCTCCAGATGGCCAGCCCTCTCATAGGCCTTGATCTCGGCCAGGCGGAGGGACTCTACCCGTGCACAAATTTGTGTTCCGGACCTCTAATTATCTGATAACAGAGAAATCTCTCATTTCTCTGGAATGTTTGATCTAATTGGGTAACATTTGAGGAAAAGATGTGTAACTATATGTAACTCTGTATCAAAACTTTGCCTGCCAGACCTCAGGCAAATTTCCATGCACCCTAGATTAAAAAGTGGACAATGGTCTGCCTGTAGGCAGAGTGGAAACCCAAACCCAGCCCTCAGCAGAAAGAGGCAACATCTCTTCGGGCAGAACAGGAATCAATCGTTTCTAAATCCCCAACAAGCAGCGAATCATTAAAATCTATTCAGGGCAAGCGTAATTCACAGTGTTTCCCAGTCAAGTCTGTAAATTACAGACAAGAAGTCCTTTCTTCAGGTCTCAGTGCCTTTCCTTCCGGAGGAGAAAACAGCAACAGCTGATAGAGAAGGCATGAAAAAATCCCCTTACTATTGAACTGTTGACTTAATTTAAAACAGCACACTCTACTTTTTACAACAAGGCGAATGAGTGAAAGTAAGAGCTCAGTTTTTACTGCTTTGAAACAAAATTGAAATATGGAACTGAAAACTACTTTAAGAAAAATGAGGCATTTTAAAACGTTGAAGTCCATTCTATTGATTCTGTGCCTATATACACTAGATGAAAGGCCTAATTTATTCATATACCACCACACACACACACACACATACACACACCACACACACACACAACACACACACACACACAACACACACACAACACACAACACACAACACACACACACAACACACATATACCACACACATACACAAACACACCACACACACACACATACACAAACACACCACACACACACACAACACACACACCACCACCACCACACACAACACACACACACCACCACACACAACACACACAACACACACACACACACACACAAAATTTGGCATCTACCGTGTTTCCCCGAAAATAAGACATCCTCCGAAAATAAGACCTACTTACAGGTTTCCTTCTGAGTGGAATAGAAGACATCCCCCCCAAAAATAAGGGCCCCCCCTAGGCTAAACATGAGAGATTTGGTCCACTGATTCTGAAAAAAATGGAGTCACAAGAAATTCACCAGGAAATTCAGGAATTGGATTGTTATGATGATGTTCCAGAAGATGATGACATGATTGTCATTGAATAAATGAGTAAATTCTTGATACAGTAGGATTCACAGTTTGTCTGGTTTGTGTTGACAACTACCGTACTACTGTACCGTATACAAGTAATAAATTTCCTTTATTTTCATTTAACAATACATGTGTACTGTATTTTTCTTCATGGAAAAATAAGACATCCCCTGAAAATAAGTCCTAGCGCATCTTTGGGAGCAAAAATTAATATAAGGCACTGTCTTATTTTCGGGAAAACAGGATAATACAGAGATCTTGAACTAAAAATGCAACATAAAAACTTTCCCATAATTAGTGGAACCTGCATGGTCTTGGCAGCAGCAAACTGTCAAACTGACCTATTTGAAAACACCTTCAAAATGCACAGCACACAATCCCACAGGAAACAACACCACTGCAGATAAGCTCAAAGTAAAAAATTACAAACCACATAAGGAAAGACATCACTAAGAGGGAGATGAAAACAGGGAGAGGTAGAAACAACAAATGGGAAAAATATATCTCCAAAATTCAAGATATTAGAAACAATCTAAAGCAATTTAAAAATAACTTTCTTTAAAACATCCAAACCTGTAGAGAATTTTTATGAGTTTATTTGAGCAAAACTGATGATATCTGCTGGGGAGCAAGATCTCAAATGATCTCCTGGAAATTTCTTTTTTAAAAATATATATATATATTTTTATTGATTTTAAAGAGGAAGGGAGAGGGGGAGAGAGAGAGAAACATCAATGATGAGAGAGAATCATTGATTGGCTGTGTCCTGCATGCCCCGTACTGGAGATCGAGCCCGAAACCTGGGTATGTGTCCGGACCAGGAATTCAACCTCAACCTCCTAGTTCATAGGTCGATACTCAACCACTGGGCCATACTGGCCAAGCTCCCCTGGAAATTTCTTGAGTGAGAGAATAGAAGAGCTGATAGTCTAGGTCAGCAATTTTAAACATTATTTTAGCTCACGACCCAAATAAACTAATTACTAAATTCTGTGACACACAAAAATATTTTTTTTCCTGATCTGACTAAAGAAATAGGTATAATTTTGATTCATTCACACCAGATGGCTATTGTTGTGTTAGCTGCTGTCATATTTTTAATTTTTTATTTGACAATCTCAGGGAAAAGTAGTCAGTGCTCTTGATGAAACAGTCAGACAGTGACACTGCTCCAACGGCCCTGAGCCCAGGGTCCATGTGGGCCTCTTCTCCTAGTTCCTCTACTTAGAAAAAGAAAAAAAAAATGTCCAGACATGAAAAACTGAAAATTTATTTTTTACAGGTTCTTGCTGAACAAGCTATTAAATCACATACTTAGGGAGAAAGAAACCGAACTCTGAAGGAAGGAGTGGGTGCCAAAAGCAATTGTGAGCAAGAGAACTGGTAAACATATGGGAAAACCTACAAATAGCTTTAAAAAAAAAATAGCTAAAAACATATCAGGAATTAAAATAAAAAAGAAAAGAGGCAACTATTCTGACTATATGCGGAGTTGTAAAGTCACTCCATGATGCCTAAAATCTTACAAATACGTGAAGATCTAGTTTTTGTTAATTCTTTATTTTAACAAAGTTATTTTCTATCAGATTGTGGGGGTTTTAACATGTCTTTAGACAAATCACTAGGATCCACTATTTCCAGCCCATCTCCAGGATGGGGTGGAAATAGTGGAACAACAAAAATCAACAGTCTCTTATCAAAAGACTAAATTTGAAATGTCATTCTGTTTGCTACAAGGCACATTATTTATGTGCAATCCAAATATTTTAGGAAAGGGAAAAAGAATTCCTTTCCACTCCCAAGCCAGATTTGTCTCTTATCTTAATTCCATCTAATACACAAAGCAAATGTCAGATGAGATATAATCTAAATCATAGCATTTGGCTTTAAAAATCTTTATTAGTGATATTGTAAGAACCCACAAGATAGGAATGATTTTCTGGAACCATTTTCTCCTGTGGAATGTGACATTCTCTATTTTTTTTTAAGTTTATTGATTTTAGAGAGAGAGAGAGAGAGACATCAATTTGTTACTTATTTATGCATTCATTGGTTGATTCTTGTATGTGTCCAGACAGGGGATCAAACCCCAACTTCGGTGTATCAGAACAATTCTCTAACCAATTCAGCTATCTGGCCATGGCTGACATTCTCTATTTCCTAAGAATAACAGTAGACATTTTTCTAATCAAAATTCAGAAAGACATGACTTGAAGAACATGTTTACTTCCCAGCTTGAGATAGCAATAAAAATATTTTAACTGATTATTTTAGCTGTTCACTTTTGAGATTACTAATTCAAAGGCCTATATTTAAAAATCATTTATTTATTTTTCAATTACAGTTGAAACACATATTATATTAGTTTCGGGTGTACACCAGAGTGATTAGATATTATATAACTTACTAAGTGATCATCCCAATAAATCTCATTCCCATCTATCACCATAAATAGTTATTAGAATATTATTGGCTATTCCTATGCTGTACTTTACATCCCCACAACTATTCTGTAACAACCAATTTGTACTTCTTAATCCCTTCACCTTTTTTACCCATTCCCCCCAATTTCCCTCTTGTCTGGAAACCTTCAAAATGTTCTCTGTATGTATGAATCCATCTCTGTTCTGCTTGTTCATTTATATATATATATATATATATATATATATATATATATATATATATAACTTCAGCAAGGAAGGGAGAGGACAAGAGAAATAAAAACATCAATGATGAGAGAGAATCATTGATTGGCTGCCTCCTGCATGCCCCCAACTCGGGATCAAGCCTGCAACTCGGGCATCTGCCCTTGACCGGAATCGAACCCAGGACCCTTCAGTCCATAGGTGACACTCTATTGACTGAGTCAAACTAGCTAGGGCTATTTTGCTTTTAGACTCAATTTTTGATAGATATGTATTTATTATCATTTTATTGTTCATGTTTTTTTTAAATCTTTTTCTTTTTCTTAAAAAAGACCCTTTAATGTTTTTTTTTTAATGTTTTATTTTAGAGAGTAATAGAGATAAAAACATCACTCAGCTGCTGGAATCAAACTAGTAATCTCTTGGTTCATGGGTTGATGCTCAACCATGCCCCACACAAGCAGGGCTGTTAACATTTCACGTAAAACTGTGTTGGTGGTGATGAACTCTTTTATCCTTTTTTGTCTAAGAAGCTCTTAATATATCCTTGGATTCTAAATGAGCACTTGATTGTAGGTCCTTGCTTTTCATC